GGCGCAGGGCGCGCGGCGCGGTGCACATGAGCAGGAAAGCCGCGCCTAGACACGCGGCCGCCAACCCGCGCCGCCGCCAGCAGCAGCGCATCCCCATGCTGTGCTCCCTGCTGCCTCTTCTCCAGGCGCGGGTACGGTCCTCTGTGCTGGGCAGGGGTCCGTGGTTCAGAGCCCTGGGACCCGCCCGGGACCGCCCGTTCTCTGCCCGACTGGATCCGCCCCGGGCGCGCGTAGCAAGGCTGCGGCGCGGGGGAGCAGGGGCTGTGCAAGTTGTGGCGGTCGGACCCGGAGTTACTGGGCCGCTGGAGCCTGGGAGATGGGTGCCGGCTGAGCCTACACTTGGCTCTCGCGGTGCTCGGACCACCTGACAGAGCGCAAGCACAGACCCCGGCGCGGTGGGCGGAGACTGGGGGAGGGAGCCCCGTGGCAGGTGAGGCTCCGCCCCGTAGAGTTTGCCCTGGGGTGCCAGGATCCACCCACAGAGAAGCTCTGCCTTAGTGGCTAAAGAGAGGGGCAGACCCATTCCAGGCAGTGATTCCGGCCTTTTTGCTTAATTTCCAGGAGCCCAAGGAAGCAGGTTCCTTCTCCATGACTCCTGCAGGTCCCAACGCCCAGGATCAGGCACAAGTGTGTCCTTTCCTTGCGCTAAAGCCGCCCTGTAGCCTGGCTTGCCGAGCAGGTCTCCAGGTCCCTCCAGAATCCTGCTCATGCAGGTCCTGTCCACACTTGGAAGACGAGGTCTGAGGTACCCCACTCGCGGTCACCAGAACTGTTCTGGGAGCCAAGTGAGCACTTAGAACTTACTTAGAACTTACTTAGCACAAGAACCCGAGGGCTCTTGGGTGGGTGAGAACAGAGGCGGTGAGGGTGAGGTCCAGCCTCTGGGAGATAAAGGAAGGGCCGGAGGCGTAACTCGGCAATAGGGCACTTGCTTAACTTGTGCGCAGTCCCACGTTCCGTCCCCAGCAGTGAACAAATAAAAACAAAAAGGATAAATGCATCCAGCTACCCGTGTGTGGTGAGCGGACCACTGCTGACCCCATGGTCTTGCTGTCCAGAGGTCGGGTTGTCAGGGAACTAAGGGTACAACTGTCACTGCGTGCGCGGGTGCAGCAATGTCCATGCGTGGACGGGGTAGGTCCACTAGTAGGGTACTGCCTTCTGCTCCAGTCTTTAAACTGCTCTTGAGAAATCCAGTGACTTCAAAACCGTCTGGTGCCACCTACCTGCAGTGTGAGGTCAGGAAAGTCACCCAGCCTCTTTGTGCCCCAGTTCCCTGTACGGTGGGACCGTACCAGACCTCACACTGTCCTGGAGATTAAATGGGGCACAGGCGATGTTTGCAACAGTGAGTCCAGTGGAAGCGCTTGGGACTAGTAAGTTATTAATTCCGTGGTTCCTGCCTAGCACGTGACTCTGGTTCCTGCGACAGCAGCGGTACAGCAGTGACACAGCAGTGACACAAACATTCTTTCCTATTACATACTTATTTAAGTTTGAAAGGGTCTTTTTAAGGAAGAACATTAAGCAAATAGTAATTATTCTGCTTTAAGATATAATGGTTCCAAATTGTGATGATGTTTCTCAAAGGGCAGGGGTTGGGAATCCCAGCTCACAAATAAAACCATAAATTCCTTATGCGGGGCGTGGAGAATGCCTGTCATCCCAGCGCTCTGGGAGGCTGAAGCAGGAGGAACACAAGTTTGAGCTCAGCCTGACCCATTTAGCAATTTAGCAAGACCCTACCTCAAAATAAAATATTAAAAAAGGACTATTTTTAGAAGGTCCTTATCATGACTCTGCCAGCTTGGAGAACCTCCAGCTCATCCCCAGCCTGGCCCGGGAGGCAGAGAGTACCGGTTATCTTCATCCCTTGTCAACCCTCAGTGTCACCTAAACCTGCCTTTCTGCGTTTCCTCTCCCGTATTCCCTTAGCCTTATAAACTGCCACCTGGTGGCCAACATTGAAAATAACATCTCAGCCCACCATTGCCGGAGATGTCCCTGCAGGCCCTCTAGGAAGATCTTGGGTTTTCGAGTGCAAGGCCTGACCAGAGTTCCAGGATCTCAGCACGTCCCTGAAAACTTTCTTTCTACGTCTCTCTGCTCTTCCACAGGGATTGACTTTCACGTCCTCATTCAAGCACTGGTGTTCGAATTATACATGGGGGCCTAAAAATAGAACTGACCAGCTATGACTGATGCTATGAAGAAAATGCAGGTGCGGGCGGTGTGTCTGACACGGTGAGAGTGGGAGGGGCAGGCCTCCGGGTGCCGACGACAGGTGAACGGGGGTGGGAGTCCAGGAGGAGTAAGCCCCAAACCGTCCGGGGAAGGAGTTTCTCGCACAGGTATCTTCTGTGAAATGTTGACGTTTTAATTTAATTTAATTTTTTAATTGTAAATGGTTCATTTAAAAATCAGGACATTTCACCAAAACTATTGGGACTTCTGACCTTTTTGAGCCATCGGTTGATGAGGTCTCCTACAGAAACAAACCCTAAAGCAAGGGCTTGGTACAGAGAGCTTAGTGAAGACCTGCCTGTTAAGGGGATCAGGAGGAGAGACGGAAGGGAAAGCAGCCTGCCAGGACATGAACCACCCTGGTGGGCAGGCCTGCTGGAACTCGGGAGGCCAGGTGTGCTCGCCATAGTCATTACTGCCTCCTCCAGCTCCTGGCTGAGGGCCACGCTTGGGCAGATGGAGGGGCTGCCAATCTCCCAGCCCTCTCCTGCCCTCTGTGTGGGACGAGGAGGCTCTGGGGCACCAGAAGCCCACGAACAGACAGACCCTGGTGCTGGCCACTGGCGCCCATGCTGTGTGCGGTGCTCAGGCACAGAGGGTACGATGAGGACTCCTGTCTCACTCTGTCTGTTAGCAGGGCCTGCGTGAGTGCCTGGCAGAAGGAGCTGCTCATTCAACCGTGCTGGAAAGATGGAGCAACCAGAGGAATGGCAGAAGGCAGGCCTGAGCGGCTTCAAGGCAGCCTCCCTGCAGGTGATGCTCCAGACCCCAGTGGAGGACAGAGAGAGACAGAGAGAGAGAGAGAGAGATCTTTTTCTCACTCACAGACAACACTGCTGCTCATCAGATCACATATGGTTTTCAGTCTATCAACAGCCAGTTCTTCAGCAGACACCAGCAGTGTGTCCTTCAATTCAACTCAATTCCGACTCCACCTGGAGATTGCGTTAGATCCCACCATTAAAGGCTCGTTCCCACGGGAGGGCCTTCTACTTCAGATGCCAGTTGCAAGCACAGGTGGTAACCTCTGCTTCTGACCTACTTGCTGTAAACCAGGGTTCCCATGAACCCCTCCTCAGGTTTGATTAATTTGCTAATTAATGACTCAAGGCTCAGGGAAATGCTTGACTTGTGTTTACAGATTTATTATGAAGGACATTACCAAGGCTCCAGGTGGACAGCCACACGGGGGAGATGCACAGGTGTGGTTTGGAAAAGGGGCAAGGAGTCCATTGGAGGTGCGCCGCCTCCAGCGACCTCTGGGTACTCAGCCGGCCAGAAGCTCTCTGAACCCTGCCCTGAGCTGTTATGGAAGCTGCATTCACAGGCATGACTGATTATGTCCTTGGCCATTAATGATGGACTCAACCCTCAGCCCTCTCCCTCCTCTAGAGGTCAGGGTTGGGAGTGGAGTTCGTTGGCAACCAGGTGCCTTTGGGAGCCCACCAGGAGTCATCTCCCTAGGGCAAGAGATGCTCCAACACCCAGGAAATTTCAAGGGATTTCCCAACTCAGTGTCAAGAACTCTCAAGCAAAGAGCAAATGTCAGAACAAAATATCCTCCTGGTGTTCCTGCCCACAAGGGTTTTCGGGACTGAATATATGTAATGGTAACAGCCCCTCACGGTACCCTAAGAGTGCAGAAGCAGCCCGAGGGTGGCTACAGCCAGACTTCTGGGTGCCAAGAGAGCTTGATCCACACTTCACCCCATCGTCTCTCTCGACCTCACTTTCCTCATTCATGAAATGGGACGGTGCACCTCTCAGGGTAGGTGTGAGGGAGAGGCGAATGGCCTTCTCTGTAATATGCTCAGAAAAGCGAAGCCTTGGAGGTGGAAGCTGTTACCTACCTGCTCAGACCCTTCCTCTGCACTGCAGCCTGAGCATTTGGTTTCTGTCCCCGGGGATAGATAGGAGCGGGCCCAGAGGTCACGGAGCTGATCGGGAACAGAGCGGGATTCACACCCAAGTGTGCTTTCCAGGAATGCTACGATTCAACTGTGATCCTTTCCTGCCTGTGTGAGCGAGACCTGTGCCTCAGTTTCTTTCCCTGTAGCGTAGGGCTAATGAGGAATACTTCCTGGCAGAATTGTTCATGGATTAGGGGGTGCGGTCCATCCCACAGGTGGTACATCACAAAGAGCTTTGGGACTGGGGTGGAGTACCCTGAAGCTCCATAGGGACCAAAGGGGGCGTTCACATTTGTGGGGGGAGTCCTACCACAACTGCCTCCCAGGCACCCTCCCTCTCAGGTGGCAAGGAAGAGACAGAAGGACAAGAGACGCTGGCTCCTGCACAGGGTCTGTGCCAAGTTCCATGTCACGTGGTTCCCCATTATCAGCACGCAAGCTCCAATATTGCCACCTTCCCATATTTCACCCCATGAAACTGCCAGAGCAAACTATAACAGTAGGGCCCCTCCAGCTCCCCAGAGCACAACCTAAACGTAAGCCCTTCCAGGCCACCCCATTTGAAGCATGAACGGACCCCCATCTGGCCCACGTCTCCCCACCAGGAAGCCTGCCCCTCCCCCCAGATCAACACTCCTATCAGCCAGTGACCCAAGGACCTGCCCCTGTGACCCGCACGTGGCTCCTTCCACAGGCGCTGTGCCCAATGAGGGGCTGGAGGAGGTGGCCCTGGGGCTAGAGGTCCCCATCCGGCTGACTCCTGATTGTTCAGTGTCCTCCCAGCCTCCCCACAGTGATGGTCTCCACCTCAAGCTCAGCAGCCATGTCCAGCCTCCAGATGCTGTGCTCCGGCCTGCCCTTGCGGCCCCTCCCGCAGAACCGGGGACGCTGGGCTGGGGTGCCGCATGCCCCTGTCAGGACCCCTGGCCTCAGCCCTGTAGAAGAGCAGGTAAGAAGTCCAACTCATGCCTCCTGGGGCCTGGTGTCTTCTGGGTTCCCTCTAGGTAGTCCAGGAAGGTTCCTCCTACCTCTTGCCCTCAACTGCCCACACTGGCCTCCAAGAGCTCTAGGGGAGAGAGAAATGTGTGCCAGACTGCCACGCCTGATACTTCTTAGGTGTGGCCACCCTGAGATTTGGAATGACAGTCCCCACTTACAGGTGAGGGGGCCCTGAGGCTCAAGGTCATGCAGACAGTAAGTGATGGTGGCGTGGCCACCTCTCACGGGAGGAGGAACCAGGAGGGTGTGAAGTGGCCCAATCCCAGCAAGAAGCGTGAAATGTGTACCTTGCCCAGGCCAAACACTGCCTGACGTGACTTGTGTTCTGCTGCCAGCAGGTCAGCCCTTTGTTTCCATTTGTGACTGCCCCTTCCCCATCTCTGAG